AGTTTCCTTCCAAAACTTATTAATTTTGTAGCATACAGGAAGCATTAAGCAATCAATTAGCTCTGATTGGATTCATTGGAAGAAGGTAGGTGAGAGTGATGGCCCTTGACATCAAGGCTACATTTGACTGTGGTAGCAAAGAGCCCTAGCAAAACTGGAATCAACAGGAAGGAGGGAAGAATTCTCTGGTGGTTGGAGTTAAAACTGGCACATAGGAAGATGGTCGTGGTTGTTGGATGTCAGTCATCTCAGCTCCATGCCATCTCTGCAGGAATTCCTCAGGGTAGAACCTAAGCTCAACCATCTTCAGCTGCTTCATCAATGACTTTCCCTTCATACCAAGGTCGGAAGTGGGGATGTTTACTGATGATTTGCACAATGTTTGGAGTGATTGTAATGAGGTCAGCCAGCTATACATCAAAGAATATGAGTTCTCTGATTGTGGCTGTTAATCTGGTCCCCAATCAGGAAGCCCTGGCTGATAGATACCAAGAGGAGTGTCAGAGATTCTGCCACTCTGGGTACTAACTCTGAAGGAGGCTGTGCTAGCATCAAGGACTTCCCACCTGTAAATAAAGGGTGACTTAGTCGCGGGGTACCGGCCTCTGTGGAGTTACGTCAATGTTCAGTACCATTTGTGATTCCTCAGATATTGAAGCAGTTCAAATGTAGCAAGAGTTGAGTGATATCCAGGCTTAGGCTGACAAGTGGCAATTAACAGTCATGTCACACAAGTGCTAAGCAATGACCATCTCCAACAAGAGAGAAAATAACCATTGCACCTTGACATTTAATACTGAATCCCCGCTATCAACATTCTGGCTTTACAATTGAGCAGAAATTGAACTGAACCATGTAAATACTGCGGCTACAACAGCAGGTAACACCACACAGAGAGACACAACTCCCAAAGTGATACTGCATAAGACCAGGAGATATAGGAGCAGAATTAGGCCATCTAGCCCATTGAGTCTGCTTCACCTTTCGATCATGGCTGATATGTTTCTCAACCCCATTCCTGCCTTCTCCCTATAACCATTTGATCCCCTCACTAATCAAGAACCTATCTACCTCTGTGTTAAATATACAATGACTTGGCCTCCACAACGTTCTGTGGCAATGAGTTCCAGAGAGTCACCACTCTCTGGTGAAGAAATTCCTCCCTATTCTCAGTTCTAAACAGTCATCCCCTTATTCTGAGGCTGTGCCCTCAGGTCCTAATCTCTCCTACTAATGAAAGCACCTTCTCCATGTCCATTCTATCCAGGCCTCTTAGTATTCTGTAAGTTTCAATCAGATCCCCCCCCATCCTTCTAAGCCTCATTGAATCCAGACCCAGAGCCCTCAATCGCTCCTCATATGACAAGCCCATCATCCCTGGGATCATTTTTGTAAACCTCCTCTGGACCCCCTCCAACTTCAGCACATTTTTCCTTAGATACAGGGCCCGAAACTGCTCACAATATTCCAATTGTAGTCAGACCAGAGCCTTATACAGCGTCAGCATTACATCTCTGCTCTTGCATTCTAGTCCTCTTGAAATGAATGATAACATTGCATTTGCCTTCTTAATGACCAGCTGAACCTGCATGTTAACCTTCAGATAATCCTGAACTAGAACACACAAGTCCCTCTGTGCTTCAGATTTCTGAAGTCTTTCCCCATTTAGAAAATAGTCTACTCCTCTATTCTTCCGACCAAAGTGCATCACACCTTCCCACACAGTATTCCATCTGCCACTTCTTTGCCCACTCTCCTAGCCTGTCCAAGTCCTTCTGCAGCCTCCCCGCTTTCTCAACACTACCTGTCCATCCACCTATCTTTGTGTCATCTGCAAATTTAGCAACACTGCCCACAGTTCCTTCATCCAGATTGGTAATGTATAATGTGAGTAGTTGTGGTCCCAACACTGTGCCCTGCTGAATTCTACTAGTCACCGGATGCCATCCTGATAAAGACTTCTGCCTTCTGCCAGTCAGCTAATCCTCTATCTATGCCAGTCCTTGCCCCAAACACTGTGGGCTCTTATCTTATTTAGCAGCCTCCTGTACATCACAGAGAGCCACAAATAATAGAGACAGAGCACAGAAAGATCCAAATCCCAACGTGAGGAATTGTGGAATTGTACATTGGCATTATACAGGAAAAATCAAATCCTAGATTCATTACCAACTCAGTAAATCCACTTTGGATTGTGTGACAAAATCTAAATATCTCTTCACCTTATTGATGCCTTAGTATTTTGTGAGTAATTATTTGATTTGCTCTATCTACAATAAAATGCATAATCCACCTTTAAAGGTATTAATATTAAAATTATGTTCTAAAAGTTGCTTGAGATGATTTATGCTAGCTTAAATAAATGCAATATAAAACAAGTTTTAAATCCGTGCCTTAAGATGATTATCATTTTATTTGTGGTTGCAGAATCCCAAAAGTTCTGAAAAGCCTGCCCAGTGACTGTGTCATGACAAATGTGATACTCAGTCCACCACATCTGTCAATGAGCCACATTGTGCCCAAATATAGGCAGTGATTTAGAACATAAGAATTAGGCCATTCAGTCTATCAAGCCTGCCCCGCCATTCAATAGGATCATGCCTGATCCACCCCAACCTTCAGTGACTCTCCTCAGCATAGCCTGCCACTCCCTGAGTTTTTGTAACTTTTTTTTAGAAAATGGGGTGGCTCAATGGTTAGCACTGCTGCCTCACAGCGCCAGGGACTCGGGTTCAATTCCAGCCTCGGGCGACTGTCTGGGTGGAGTTTGCACCTTTTCCCCGTGTCTGTGCGGGTTTCCTCCAGGTGCTCCAGTTTCCTCCCACAATCCAAAGATGTGCAGGGTAGGTGGATTGGCAATGCTAAACTGCCCAAAGTGCCCAGGTTAGGTGGGTTAGACACAGGAAACGCAGGGATAGGGGAATGGGTCTGGGTGGGATGCTCTTCAGAGGGGCAGTGTGGACTTGTTGGGCTGAATGGCCTGTTTCCATACTGTAGAGTTTCTATGATTTCTACGAATCCACTACCTCTTCTCTACATACTTTCAGTGATGCAGTCTTGACACCTCTCTGGGTAGAGAATTCCAAATATTCCTTCACACCTCAGTTTTAAATGAGTGTCCCCTCACTCTGTAAATCTGTCCCCCAGTCCAAGACTCCCTACTCATGGAAACATTGAGCCCCCTTAGAATCTTGCATGCTTTAATAGGATCACTCCTCATTCTTCTAAACGCTAAAGAATAAAGGCTTAACCTGTTTATTCTTGATAAGTCAACCCTTCACCCCATCAATCAGCCGAGTGAATCTCTTTTGAACAACTCCAATGCCAGTATATCTTTTCATAAATACAGGGGCCAAAACTGTACACAGTACTCCAGGTGAGGCCTCATCTCTGTTATTGTAAGAAACATTTGTGTTATTTGCAAGCTTGGAAATGTTGCATATGGTTCCTCATCCAGGTCATTTATCCATATAGTGAATAGCTGGGGCCCAAGGACCGATCCTTGCAGTACTTCAACAGTCACTACTTGCCACTGGGAATAAGATCCATTTATTCCCACTCTCTGTTTCCTGTCTGTCAAACAATTTTTGATCGTGTCAATGTTTTACCCCCTATTCCAAGTGCCCACTAACCACTTATGAGAGATCTCATCAAAAGCTTCTGAAAATCCAAATACACTACATCCACTAGTTTTCTTTATCGATTCTATGAGTCACATCCTCAAAGATCTCCGGCAGATTAGTTAAACATCGTGTGTCTTTCATAAACCCATACTGGCTTTGTCCAATCCCATTAACATTTTCCAAATGTCCTGTTATCATAGAATCATAGATTCTAACTATGAATCTAACATTTTCCCACTATTGATTTAAGCTAACTGCTCTGTAATTCTCTGTTTTATTTTCTCTCCCTTTTTATATAATGGAGTTACAATTGTCATCTTCCAATCTGTAGGAGCTGCTCCAGAGTCCATCGAATTTTGGATGTTGCCCACCCATGCATCCAATATTTGCAGTACTGCTTCCTTAACTACTCAGGGCTACTGATTATTAAGCACTGTTGATATGTCAGCCTTAAGCAAAAGTTCCCAGTTTTTATACTCCAACTCCCTAAGAATAAAGGCCAAAATTCAATTTACCTTTGCATTAGCAAGACTGTGTCAGAGGGGAAATGGAAGGGAGACTGAGGTCACTGTTACAATGATCAAGGTCTTGGAAGGGATTGGTGCAGGAGATGGTTGTTAATGGTGTCCGAAATTTGTTGCTGGTGGGTATTAAAGGTTACCTTCTCCCCCTACAGGGATGCTATGCGGATTGTTCAGGAGGGTCAGTATTTCCCTATGTGCTGTGAATCCCTTATAATTCCCACTGTCTGGAGCAAACTTGCCAAGACACAGGCCTCCTCCTGCCACTGTTGCTGACAATAAGGCTGAGAGATAAAATCATCTCCCAGCCACTCACCACTGAGCTGCGAAAGTAAAAGCACACTTGTTCCCTCAACTTGAATGACTGAGCCAGTTGTAGCATAGTAATATAAATTAATACTGGCAAAAACCAACCATGCCTGTAGCTGAGTCATGGCCTCCATGTTTGTTTCAGCACAGGTTATGCCGCAGTTAACTTGTAAAGTGCTGATATCCTAACAATTGAACAACATCAGGGAATATGCATTCGAAACTCAGTGTTTTGTTATACACATGCAGATCTTGTTTTTAAAAAAGCTATGCATTCCTTGTTTGTGAATTGACTGGGGCTCCAGCAGTGGTACTCTGCAGTACTGGAAAATGATGGCAGAATTCCGTTCCTTTGCAGCTCTCAGCTGCAGAGATCTAACAGCCAATGCTTTTGGTTCCCTGGACCCCGTACAAAAAGGACATCCAGTCCATCGGTCTCCCTCCCGGATCAATGTCATTAATATTGCAGCAAAGGATATTCGTAGGCTCTGCGTGCACCATTGACAAGGAACCTCATAAATAGGGCTGGCAAAGGCTGGGAGCTTCATCACACAGTGCAGGGACACCCAGAGGGAGGGAGAGGGCTGCAGCAACAGCAAGCTACTCGAGTTGGTGCTGAGGAGCTGCTGCAGCTTAGTGTGAGCTGAGAAGCACTCTCAGCAGAAACGGCACTTACACAGCTAACAAACAGCTCAATATACCCACCATGGACGTTCTGAAGAAAGGTTTCTCGTTTGCTAAGGAGGGAGTGGTGGCTGCAGCAGAGAAAACCAAGCAGGGCGTTCAGGATGCTGCAGAGAGGACGAAAGAAGGAGTGATGTATGTGGGTAAGGAGGCACACAAGCTGCAGCTTAACATATTACACAGAGACGGACTTTTCCGGGGTACTTTATTTTTTCCTGCGGGAGGTTTTATTTTTCTTTTAAAGCGGGAGGAAAGAGGAATTTTATTTTGCAGGTCTGTGGGAGGTGACAACAAATTGAATCAATGAAGCAAAGTTTAGAAGGAACAAGGGAACAGCTCAATTAAAATGGTTAGGCTAGAACTGCTTTTCAACATTTCTGAAAGGTGATGTTCAACTTATCGAAAGAAAGGAAAAGCTCCCCCTCCCCAACAAGTTCTGCAGAGTGTGAATGGTGCATTTTACTTTCTCAAGTGCACTAAACCTTTTCCAGGTTGTCTTTACCTCCTGTCAAGTTATGGTGCACAGGGGCTGCTGTATCTTCCCGCTGAGGAAACACTGACACCAGCTCCCTTAGGACAATATGACCAGATTTCCCCTCGCTTTAAATGCATTGGTGCAAAATCTCCGTTCTGTTTTCTGGGATGCTCCAGGTCCTGTAGTCCGGAATGGTGCAGTGGCGGTGCTGGAGCTGAGCTTCACGGGGAGGTGCTGTGGTATACAAGTGAGTACTGTGGCCGTGACGACAGTACAGTGTTAAAAGGGAGAAAAAAATCATTGTAATAAATTGCCTTCAGGACCAAGAGTGAGAGTATTGTTGGTGAAACTTCCAGATGTCTCTCGCATTTTGAAATGTTCACTGGAATTAGATTAAGCCGGGGGCAGATAGGAATTCTCTGTAGGCTTTGCCCCAGGGAGGGATATAGTAAAAAGATGGGGATTTTAAGGGAGAATGGGATTTCTGTTGCCCACAATTAAAGAACATCACAGCTTTATATTCAGCATAGAGGAGGAAACAGAGGCGGGCCGCCTGCCCTGACTTTGTAAAAGTGCTCAAAATCTTCATCTCCAGAGCCCTGGTATGACCTACGACCAGGAGCACTCAGAATGACTGAATTCTGGCTGGGTTTTTTTCCCCCAGAAGATTCTGATGACCCACCATTGCAGCACTCAGTGTCCACTGTCCAGCTCTGCTGACGTGGACCATACCATGCACCAGGGGTCCCTGCCTGAGTGGGAGGTGCATCCAGCCTCTGGTTTACACCCTCACAAGCAAGTATGCCGGGAGTGTCTTTGTCACTGATGTGACAGCAGCTGACCTTGTCACTACCAGGAAGTAGACCACACCCTCCCCCAGAAAAAAAAACACGATATCGTAATATAATTTTGATAGGTTTGCCTTGAACATTCGACTTTTATTACGATTGGGAGCTGCCAGTGCTAATTTTGTTTAAACCGATTCTTTGAAATAGCAGGGAAGAGATTTAAGGGAAGGATGCTGTGAACACCCTGTGCATGATGAAGGAATGATCTTGGTGCTGTAACGAGCCAGTTCTGGAGCTAGGAGGGGCGGCTGATGTTCAGTCCTGGCTATATCATACCTATACTGCTGTGTACTATTTCCATTCAAACTCTCTCTCAGAAGGAGAGTTTCCCCACACTGTCAATCGTCATTAAACCCTGGGAAGAAATCAGCATCAAGACTAAAGCAGCAACACAATGACTTTATACAGGTTAAAGAATAAAAACTGCTTCATTACACAGGACATCTGATTTCCCCAGAGGGCAGAATTAGCGAGGCAGAGAATTCTTTTTCAGGGGTCTAGAGTTTGCAAAGAGACAGAGGGCTGAGACAACAAAGACGATTTGAATATAAAGGATTGGGACTTTAGAATAAATTGGTGCAGGACAGAGAATCAGGGCCGATCAGTAAACACGGGATGGCTATAATTAAATGCACCATGATCTTGAGTTAGAGACAAGACATTCCTGATTCAGCCTGTAGATTAATTGAGGTTAATTCACATCTCGGTGTGGTGTTGAAGCTCTCATATCCTGCTCATGGTCTATGCTACCATGTCCCAGACCAGCAGTGATGCGAGTAACTATTGCATAGTCACATATTACCTCACGTGACTAACTGTTTTAACCCTTGGCATCCGGACAGCTCCAGAGAAGCTGTCCTTCGGTCTAGCTAGTTCTGCGAATTTACATTCTCACCCAGTGTGTAATATGCGTAATACTACATTAACAAACCTACTGAAATATTAATGCAGTTTTAATATTCAACTTCTAAAAAATTATTTTTAGAAACTATTTGAAAAACTTTCATTCCACAAAATGCTGTGGTTGCTGGCATAAGAGCAAATAAAGCCACGGTAACACCAGAGATCAGATGGCAGCTGTTGAGAGAAAAATTAAGTTAAATTTTCAGGTTAATGACCTTTCGTCATTGCATAATGCATTTTCCCGAAGCAGGAATGGGATGGTGACTTTGACACCCCATAGAGGAGTGGGGATGTGCCCCCAGCAAGGCTAGATATCGCCATGTGCCAGCCAAGCTCTTGGACACGATTCAGAAAAGAAGTGTTCTATCACTACTTCAAGTTTCTTCAGTGCTTCGGCACTCAGAGATCTGTGCAGCAGAAATAGCATCATCACAAGTAAAATAAAATCCACAAAAGTCCATCTCATTAGGAAAGGGATTTCCAGGTTATTATAACAAGGGGCAGTTCCTATTTAACACACTCAAAATCAATGTAGCCATCCAGTGCGTCATGTGACCTCAACTAGCACCCCGTCTAGTGGTGAAATGATGTCATGACGCCTTAGCGCTTCAGAATAAAAGCATCAGGCGGTACAAACCAATGGAAATACTTTGATTCTGGATGTGTGATGCTAGCCAGAGGAACAGTTTAGGGCCTGAGTTACAGAACTGTCGCTCCTCTTTGTTGTTAAAGAGATGCAGACCTGTTTGAAGATGCATGCTTCAGTATCGAGTCAATGCAGGATTGGTTTGTCTTGAAGTCCTTCAGTTAAATCGTGGCTAATCTTTTGGTGCATCATTCAAGGGGATACTGTTTGGTTATAAGTTTATACTGGCCCCTGGGACTAGGCTGGCAGTTGGGGCAAGGGCAAAAAACTAAGGTGGGGTCTCTGTATCTGCTGCTTATTCACCTCCACCAGTGTATTAGCAGCAACAGATAGGCTGCCCACCCTCCAATCAATATGGATGCCCTTAAGTGAGTAATTAATGATCACCTAAAGCTTTTTCTCACCACCTCTGTGGTATTTTACCAGTGGCAGTGTGTGCCCATGGCAGATGACAAGGACCTGGTAGCCTGAATACAAGCTCGGGTGGCTGAGTCCCCTCTCATCAGGCCTGATTATGCCCCCTCCCCCTCACCCAATGTCACCCCTACCACTTTGCATCTCAATCACACTCCCCAGGATGCTGACCTATTCTAACAAGCCCCCACCTCCACCTATGTTCCAGCCACTGCTGCCAATTTGGCTGCAGTACCATCAGTGGCCACTGCTCCTGGTAGCACTGTTAGAAAGAAAAATCAAATGGCCCTCTGCTGAGCTGGCAGCTCTTGGAGGTGAGATATTCTGCCAAAGTGAGGGTTGGAGTGGCAGGAGGGTCTATGGCCCTGTGTGAAGTCTTTGCTTTTGCTCATAGAATAATAGAATCACTAGACAATTATGCCCCTTGTTAGAAGGGAACACCTTAGCCAGACCGTGGGGAACAAATTGGAATAATATAGGACCATTTCAAAATATGTGGCAACTCCATGGGACACAGGAGGTGCTGTCCCATTCCCCAACACGTTTTTCAGCTGCACCATTGTAACTTTTCTTTTCATCTTCCCAACCAGGCACCAAAACGAAGGAAGGAGTTGTACAAAGTGTGAACACAGGTAACAGATAACAAGTGGAGGTCACTGGAACAGCCATTTCCCTGCCCTAGACCCTCAAGCCGTGATGTTAAGAATTCTCTCTCATTTCATTGGCAGTGGCTGAGAAAACCAAGGAGCAGGCACATGTGGTTGGAGGGGCCATGGTGGCCGGAGTCAACACAGTGGCTAACAAAACGGTGGAAGGCGTGGAGAATGTGGCAGCGGCCAGTGGGGTTGTTCATTTGGTGAGAATGAGCATTGTTCATACGGGTTATAAAAACTTGACTGCTTTGTCATATTCTGTGCAGCTTGGTCCTCCTGACTACAGGTTCAGTGACATTAGCACCATGTCACCGTCTTCCCCTAAATTGGTCAGTGAGTCTGTAGCAAGAGAACATAAGGCAAAATGAGAGGAAGCTGGGGCAGTGTAGGTAGCCTTTAAGACCATTTATTTGTTGATGCTATCTGCTACCTTTAGCTGATCTTTCTACTGATTCAATAAATCCTCAAATTTTATCTTAGCCCTGGTGAGATGACCATTTGAGTGAGTGTGGCTCAGGGATAGATATACTGGCAACACTGATTTTCCAAATCATTACCATTAGTGAATTCACAAAATCATCTTTTGTGAAGGTTTCTACTAGAGCAATCAACTATCACTGCAGAATGTTGGTGGAGTGAAATTTTGAAGATACCAATATATTTCTGATATTAAGTATAAGAACTAATCTTCTTGTCTGTCCTGATTAAATTGTGCAGGTACAGTACTAATTATTGAGGCTGTTAAATTGCTCGATCAATTATAAACAATTTAAATCACAGAGGTAGAATCCTGTAGAGATTGAAGGAGGAATGTCAGAAACTGTTTAGAGAGCTGGCGAGACTCCATATCACCTCTTTTCAGAATGGCATGGGGCCATCAGGCACTTAAGAGATCAGCTGCGTGCCCTCTGCTGTGACTCAGGACCCTGAGGTTGGTACCCCTGCCCACCAACACCCACTGGCCAGTCAGAGGCCAGCAGCTGTTCTACACTCTCCGCCATCACTGGCTGTGCCTGGTGCTACACTCAAAGCCTCAGGCTGAGGTGGGACCCAGACACAGGGGAATGACAGAGGGTACTGAAAGGCTGGAGAAGGAGTGTCAGCAGCAAGGGGAGAGAAGTAATTCATTCCCAATGATAGGTCCCTCAATCAGGCTCTGAACCTGGTCACAATAGGGTTAGTTTTGGATTGGAGGAATGTATCACCTTCTCTCTCTCACTATAATTAAATATGAGAACCAATTCCCAGTTGTCACTGTAAAAGACCAGGCATTGACTTGAAGGAAGGTTCAGGAGGGAGAGGAATTGGAAATTGTCAAATTACAAAAGAAAATGAATATGCCTTTTTCCTGGTCCCCCTGAGTTTGTGTTGAATAGTGTTTGATTGGCAGCAGATCATTTAGTGGATGCTGCATGAAACACTGGCAGAGACAGCATTGCTCAATGCCAGTCTGTAACGTGGCAGCTTAATCTAGACAGTGGCTCCTTTATTCACACACAAGTGTACAACTGGACAATACACCAACCCTAAGAATGAGACACTAGCCAAGAAGATTGTGGTTTGCCACCATCCCAAGGCAACTTGACTCCAGTCTGGGCCTAAGCCCCACAGTGTTAGTGATTGTTTATTGCTTGCAGAATGACAGATGTTATTTTATAGTTGGGAATATGTCAAATTAAGATTGCACATACACAAACAGACTTTATCCTGCTGTTCTGAAGAAGGGTCACTGGAACCCAAACGTTAACTCTGAATTCTCTCCACTGAGCTCTTCCAGCAGTTTCCGTTTTTGTTTATTCTGCTTTATGTCTGAGGTGGTTGTTGGTGGCAGAGAGATGATGGGGTGCTGGTACGGTGTTTAATTCAGCCAGCGGATGTAATTCGGTTGAGGGTCAATCTTGCTGCTTTCGAACCCTCATCCAGGGCCGCTGTTGCTCTCTCCTCGAGATGTCCTTGACAAGGCTCTGCATTATTCAGCACACTCCCATTCTGCGGGTGTGACACTTTTGGAGAAGTTTACTGCAATGCAGATACCGTAGTCATGTGGGAGGGGTGCATCGGCCTGCTTTCCCCTCCCCTCCGAGTACATCGTCCTGCCAGCCTGTCCCGTGCTTTTGCTGAAATAAGATCTGATCTCTAAAGCAGGGGTGGCGAGTGAAATGTTCTGCTTTTGATGTCTGCAGTCTGAACGCGTTAATCCAAGCACCGGAATTACTGACGCAAACAGTTCTTAAAATAGCCCACATCCAACTTGGTCACATGAGGCTGAGCTGCAGAACTCCGAGCAGTTTCCCTGGGTTTGGTGCTGAACCTTCGACAGTCCCTCATTCCTAAAATGTCACACCTAGTTCTCTTACTGTTACAATCAAAGCGAGCTCTGGGCTTTCGCGGTAAAAAGCAGAATCAATGCTGATCAGGGACCAGGCCAGCTCAGTTAATTCGCCATATCCTCAGATATCAGATTCTGGGGTGTATCATTCCGGGTACAGGGACTAGTTAGAATCCTAACTTCTGATTTAGAAGGTTGTGGGTTGAAGTCCCCACTTCACAGACCTGAACACGGAATCCAAGTCGAATGTGTCTCACAGCCTGCAAGATAAGTGACAGTTTTCAGGTGAGAGATTAAAGGGAGGCTCCTTGTCAGGAAGGGGTGACACTATTCAAAGAATAAAAAACCATTTAATCACAGTGTCCTCCGGTAAAGTTCATTGTTTAACTGATAGAAATTTTCTGATCTTTGGACCTTACTGTGAACAAATTGGCTTCCTGTTTCCATTGCAGCAGTGGGTTCACTTCAAAAGCAGTTCATTAACTGTAAGGCATTGTGGGACAGTTTTGGGAACATGCAAGTCACTATATAAATGTCTTTCTTCTTTTTGAACATCAGAACTGTAAGCTTCTCTACCTGCGATAGGAGTCTGAGATGAATACTGGAACTGGTTACAATCAGTGGGAGTGGAAAGTGGGTATCTAACCATAACAACAACCTGTATTAAGATAACCGCATGCAAAATCACCAAACAGCTCTGTGGAAAACCTCTTGAGCTTCAGCTTAGAGTTGATTTTCTTTTTGTTTTGCAACATTGGCTAAGAACTTGCCGTCTTGTAATGAGCTTCTGTTAACCTTCAGCTCCAACCAGTTTTACCCAGAAAGTAGCTTCAGGTGTGAGCAGAGCCAGAACTACGGGGTGACTGGGACTTTGGTGAATGTTGGAACTGTGTACTTTATCTGTTTGATTTGCTGCAGAGCAATGCAGAGGTTGGGGTCAGGGGTAGGAAACTCAAACTGGCATCATGTGTTCACAAAATCAGCTACAGTTTAGCCATAAAGCAGAGCCCTCGTAATTCTGTATTAGCAATATTGTACAGCCCCAATCAGAGAGAGTATGGCCTCATTGCACCAAAGTTCCCTCTGGTCCCTTCTCAGCAAAATTGTAAATAGAGGCCCCATGCTAGAATCCATTATTAAAGTGGTGGTAGCAAGTCATCCTTGCCACAGAGAGCTGTGGGAGCAGACTTCCTGTGTATATTTATGGTTGAGATAGATAGATTGATCAAGAATCTATCTATCAGGGAATCAAGGGCTATGGTGAAAGGGCAAGAAAGTGGACATGAAGAATATCTGATCAGCCATGATCCTATGAATGGTTGAACAGGCTTAAGGGGCTGAATGGCCTACTCCTACTCTCATTTCTTATGGTCTTGTGGACATTTAGAAAATCCTATATTAATCAGACAGAGTTAACATAGTTTTGTGAAAGGGAAATTGTTTTCGACAAATCTATTAGAATTCTTTCAGGATGCAACAAGCAGGGTGGATAAAGGGAGACTAGTACATGGGTTAAGAATGTATAACCTCATTTCTTTGTCAAGGAAGAACTGAGAACTTGCATTTATGTACATCTTTTAGAGCAACTCAGATACAGCAATTCATTATTTCAAAATGGCATTTGCCATTGCTTGTAGCAAATGTGGCAGCCGTATTTCAAATGGCAAAGCCCTTTAAACATGGCTAGAATGGATGACGACTTAATTTAATTCTGGTGGTTTTGGTCAGTGGAAGAATATTGATAGGTCACTGAGCAGAGAGAACTTGCTTTGAAACTGATTCAAACCCATTGCTAGGTATAACAGCAATCGACAATCCTCTGTACCTCTCATTTCCTTTCCAGAAGTACACTGATATGGAATCATCCCATTCTCATGAGTCCTTCTCAATTATAAATTTAATAGAAACATAGAACCCCTACAGTGTGGAAGCAGGCCATTCAGCCCATTGAGTCCACACCAACCCTCTGAAGAGCACCCCACCCAGACCCAACCCCCTACCCTGTCCCTGTAACCCTGCATACTCCCATGGTTAATCCACCTATGCTGCACATCTTTGGACTGTGGAAGGAAACACGTAGACACTGTGCAAGCTCCACACAGACAGTCACCTGAGGGTGGAATTGAACCCATGGCCCTGGCGCTGTGAGGCAGTAGTACTAACCACTGTGCCGCCCACTGTGGTCTAGTTTAAGATGATTCATGTGTTCCCCCTATGGATATCATAACAGTCATTAGAAATAATGAAGTTTCTCATCTTTCTATCACAATATAAGATCTTGGCTTAAAGGAGATTGCCAGGTGAGTGCATGCAAAGCTACTTTCCTTTCCTGCAATAGGAGGCTGACAACAACTTGTATGGTTCTGTCTTGCCAGGATGAATTTGGTCAAGAAATTCCTGCTCAACCGGTGGCTGAGGGAGAACAGACCCTAGAGGAGCAACTGGTGGAAGCTACAGAGGCCACTGAAGAGGTAGAGTAAGGTCTCCAAGGAAGTCTTGAATCACCCTTTCCTTTCTGTCCTTTCTGCAATCCCTAAACATGTGATTTTTCCTTTCAGTGCTTCCACAACACAACCCTTTACTCCATGCAGTCCATCCCTTATGTACTGACTTGTGAACTCTCCCCTTTCTTAGGTCATGGATAGATTTTTACACTATTGTGGAAATCCAGGTAAAAATGGTAAATATTGCATGTTGGGGTGTCCAGACTGGAGAGGGTGTTACAAGGTGATATTTAACAGAAGCATTTGACAATAGAATATTCCATGAAATAAAACCGGAAATTACTCCACATTATCAACCCCAAAAGCCATTAAGTTCCACAAACTTCTGAGAAGAGTGCGCCATTTGAGGTTTACTAAGAGCGTTAAGGATGCTTTCAAATTAAAAGAAAGATGTAGAATACTGTGAAGATTAATAGCAGCATCTAAAAAATAAGAGTAGCTAATTTGAACATTGCTTTCTTAGGGAGTAATTATGGTTAACAAGGAAATGGAGTAGACTTTGAGAAGTATTTTGATCAGTCTTCACAGTCAAAGACACAAAAAGCATTCTCTGGTAAAAGGAAAGCAGGGGACAAAAAGGAGTGAGGAATTTAAAACAGTTACAATTATGAGAGAAAACGCACAAAAATACTAATGGGACTGATGACTTGTTTCCTAGGGACGTAAAGGAGGAAGTTGCAGAGGTAACAGATGTATTGATTGTCATCTTCTAGAATTCTCTAGATTCTGGAAAAGTCCCACTAGATCGGACAAATACAAATGTAACACCACTGTTCAATTAAGGAAGGAAAGCTAAAGCAGGAATCTCTAGGCTGGTTATTCTAATATCTGTTATGAAATTGCTAGAATCCATTATTGAGGTGGTGGTAGCAAGTCATCCTTGCCACAGAGAGCTGTGGGAGCAGACTTCCTGTGTATATTTATGGTTGAGATAGATAGATAGATTCTTGATCAATTTATCTATCAGGGAATCAATCTTAAGTCATCCTTGCCACTGAGCTTTGGATGCAGACTATTTGTGTATATTTAAGGTTGAGATAGATTCTTGATCAATCAGGGAATTGAGGATTAGGATGAAAGGGCAAGAAAGTGGGCATGAGGAATACGGGATCAGCCATGATCCTATTGAATGGCTGAGCAGGCTTGAGGGGCCGAATGGTCTACTCCTGCTCCTATTTCTTATGGATATTTAGAAAATCGTATATTAGTCAGGCAGAATTGACATGGTTTTGTGGAAGGGAAATTGTTTTTGACAAATCTGTTAGAATTCTTTGAGGATTCAACAAGCCGGGTGGATAAAGGCGAAATAGTAGATGTCATATTGTTAGATTTCTAAAAGGAATTCAGTTAGCGGCCACATAAAAGATGACTGCACAAGCTAAGAGCTCACAGTGCCTCACAGGTTATTAGTCTGGATAGAGCTTTGGCAGACTAACAGGAAGTAGTGTCAGGTATCTGAGTCATATTGAATTGACAAACTGTACAAGTGGAGTATCACAGGTGTTGGATACTGAACTATTTGCCATTGTTATTAATGACTTGGATGAAGAGACCAACTGGGTTTGTAGCTAAATTTCCTGATAATATAAGGATAGGTCAGAAACCAAGATGTGAGGAAGATACAAAGAGTCTGTGAAGAGTTATAGATGGGATAAGTGAGTAGGCAAAAATTGGCAGGTAAGGTGGAAGTTGTGAACTTTGGAAGGAAAAACAGAGAAAAGCAGAATATTATTTAAATGTAGAGATTCTGCAGAATGTGTCAGTGCAGATGGATGTGGGTATCCTTGTACATGAATCAGAGAAAGTCAGCATGCAGGTACAGCAAGTAATTAGGAAGGCATGTGGGACGTTGGCCTTTATCGAAAGGAGGTGAAATGTGAAAGTAAGAAAGTGTTGTTACAGCTCAACAGGTCATTTGTGAAGCTGCATCTGGAGTACTGCATATACTTTTGGGACACTTTGTAAGAAAAGATGGACTTAAATTAGAGGCATTTCAGAGAAGGTTCACTATACAGGATCCTGAGATGAAGTGATTGCCTTAAACTAGATGAGGCAATGTAATGGAAGAGTATATTAGCTATAGTTTCTGATGTTCCCTTTATGAAGATGGACCAATATTCAACCGCACCATTAGAAAAACACATTATCTTTCAGTTTTGTAATTCCATATGTTTAACTTTTATTGTTCTACCTTTTCACAGAGAACTTCTTTTTGTTCCACCATCTGTTAATTTTATCTTGGACCTTATCCTGAAATCTTTCGCAATTTAGTTGTAAATCTCATTGCTGTGGGAATTCCTTTCCATTGTTTGCCTCAAATCTAACTGTTCCTTTCCTGTCAAGGTTCCTCCACCTTTTATGTACTTCTCTTTCAGTTTTTATATCTGTATTTAATGGATTTAATATCACAGCAGATTTCTGGCACTATGTTGGCACTTCCATTGTAATATGGCAGTGTGTCAGTGCCAGCTGGATTATAAATGCAGGCACCGTGAGTGCTTGCATCATCTTGCTGCTAGCGGGGAGATTGATTCTGTTGTCATTAGTGCTGTACTTTATGGGTAAACACCTGAGGAATGTGGTTTTGAACCTCCTGCACAGCTCACCAGCAATAATTGACGCACAGCCTCAATATCATGGACAGGTAGTCCCAAGCAAAGGACAAACTCACTCAGTAAAACAATTAATTCTATGGACTGAGCTGCTGAGAATTGAAGTCCTTTCACAAATCACCACCACTGTTACAAGTTTTTCTGTAGTTGCACACCAGAATATATCACCAGGTTTAGGGTGTCTATCCACAAGGTGGTCTATTCTAATATGTTGTTTTCTCCCCCTTCCTACAGACTGGAAAATGAAGAGCTATCGATTTTTCAGAAGATTCTGGGTACACTTCCCCTCTCCCCTAAACTTTCACACCAGTGTTGCCGTAGAGAATCGAGGATCACAGGCATCAAGCCTCTAATAGCTAATTGTAAAGAAGGGGAACTGTCCAAAGCCTATTTGTTTCCTGTCACCACCTCACCATCATTCTGTGTGACCTACCGTGGTCACCAATTTAACAAGAGTCCCTTTAAGTAACCAACTTTGAGCTGCTATTCATTTTATCATGTTCACCCTGTAGTCAGTCACCTGTGTGTCACCATTCACCTTTGTAACAGCACTTTGTGTCTCCACAGTCTGCTTTTGGCCACCTAATTACATTGATGGTTGTAATTTGTGGTAGTGCAGTGCATGCTGCCTGCATAGCTTTGTGTGTTGGCATTTAACACGTGCAGATTTTATAACAAATATGAGAATTAAAATAAAACTTTAATGGAGGTACTGCATCATCTCTTGATAGTTATTGATCTCCAGTTTATTTCTAATAATGTAGATTTATCATAGTATCGCTACAGTATGGAAGCAGGCCATTCGGCTCCTCCAAAGAGCATCCCTACCCTATCCCCATAACCCTGCATTTCCCATGGCTAATCCACCTAGCCACACATCCCTGGACACAATGGGTAATTTACTATGGCCAATCCACCCTAACCTGCACATCTTTGTGACTGTGGGAGGAAACCCACGCAGACATGCAGAGAACATGCAAACTCCACACAGTCACCCAAAGTTGGAATCAAACCCGGGTCCCTGGTGCTGTGAGGCAGCAGTGCTAACCACTGAGGCTGACAATTTATTGATCACTCAACTTTGCTAATGTTGATACATAGAAATATAGAAGATAGGAGCAGGAGGAGACCATTTGGCCCTTCGAGCCTGCTCCGCCATTCATCAAGATCATGGCTGATCATTCAACTCAATAGCGTAATCCTGCTTTCTCCCCATAACCTTTGATCCCATTTGTCCCAAGTGCTATATCTAGCTGCCTCTTTCAATGTTTTGGCACCAACTACTTCCTGTGGTTTTAATTTGTCAATGTTTGAACTCTTCAGTTTACTAGTGATGAATTGTCCCTCTCCTGTCTAGGCAGCCTGGTTAGGTATAGGACAGAAATATATCTCCATCCAGCACTCCCAGAGCAGACACAGGAGAGAAAAACAAAGAGTGGTCTCAAATCCCTCCCTCGCTACTCCCACCTCTACTGCGGAAATGGCAAGAGCTCCATGTTGCCCCCTGTGAGGGAGGTCTGCTGGGATTCATGGACCCCCAGGCTGGGTTAAGGTGAGGGTCTTTGAAAGCTACCAGCAAAATGGAGCTTTGCCCATTACATGCTAATGAGAACAGTGGCAGCCAATAATATACTCACCCAAGACCCAGGATCAACAAGGGACCTGGGCTAAAGTGAGTGAGTGCAGAATCGGGGAGGTGGGGGTTGAGGTTTGAAGGATAATTATCGCAGGAGAAGGGAGAAGTATGGGGTCGACAGCAGGGACAAGGAGTTGACTCTTGGTGTGTTCCTGACCATTCTCACATTCCCAAAACCAAATCTGTCCCTTCCTGATTCCAAGTCTTTGGATCCACAGTGAATACCCGATGACCAGAGAGGTCAAGGGAGCTGCCCATGATAACTATCAGCATTTGTTTCTCAACCTGTGTAATGACTCCTGACCTGGAATAGTTACATTTGGCTTTGAGAAAGCATTCAATCAATTTGGAGTTGGTGGGATATAACATCTAAAGATCCACTCACTGATTTTGACCATTAATGAGAGTTCATTCTACTGCCTGGGGTAGTGTGCCCAGGTCCTTGGGACTCGATTTCTGATACTGAACTCCACAGCTGTCTGGTCTTATTGCCTTCCGAAAAGGAAAGATGTTGTTAAACTAAAGAGGGTACAGAAAAGATTTACGAGGAATTTGCCGGGACTGGGGGTTTTGAGCTATAGGGAGAGGCTGGATAGGCTGGGGCTTTTTTCCTTGGAGCATCAGAAGCTAAGGAGTGACCTCATAGAGGTTTATAAAATCATGAGGGGCATGGATAGAGTGAATAGCCAAGGTCTTTTTCCCAGGGTTGGGGAGTTCAAAACTAGAGGGTTTAAGGTGAGAAGGGAAAGATTTAAGAAGAATCTGAGGGGTGACTTTTTCAAGCAGAGGTTGGTGCATGTATGGAACAACCTTCCAGAGGAAGTGGCCAAAGGGTTTAGAGGGATATGGGCCAAATGCTGGCCAAGGAAACTAGGACAGATTGGGATGTCTGGCAGGCATAGATGAGTTGGACCGAAGGGTCTGTTTCCATGCTGAGAGACTCTATGACTGTTATGACCTTTGAGCCTTGCTGTGGATAGAACAACATTGTAAAATCTTGAAGCCCATTTATCATTGTTGAGTGTTTCCATGGTCAGATTGTAAATTGACTGGCACTACTTGCTCTAGCAACAGTGAGTTTTAAGTCATTTATGGAATGTGGGCTCGACCAGCATTTATTGCCTGTTCCCAGATGCCATCGAGAAGTTAGTGGTGAGCTGCTGTCTTAAACTGCTGCAGTCCATGTGGTGTAGGTAGACCCACAGCACCGTTAGGGAGGGAGTTCCAGGATTTTGACCCAGTGACAGTGAAGGAAGAGTATTATATTCCCAACTCAGGATGGTGAGTGGCTTAGGCGGGAAATTGCATGTAGTGGTGTTCAGTGAATGCGATGTTATTGGCTGGGCCGGTATTTATTGCCCATTCCTAGTTGCTCTGGAGAAGGTGATGGTGATCTACCTACTTCTGGCTGAAGATTGCTGCGACTGCTTCAGTCTTATCTTTTGCACTGATGTGTTGGGATATTCCATCATGAGGATGTGTGGAGCCTCCTCCTCTAGTGAGCTGTTTAATTGTCCACCGCCATTCATGACTGGATGCTGCAGGACTGCACAGCTTAGATCTGATCCGTTGGTTTTGGAATCACTTAGCTCTGTCTATCACTTGCTGCTTATGCTGTTTGGTATACAAGTAGTCCTCTTTTGTAGCTTCACCAGGTTGGCAGCTCATTTTTGGGAATAGCTGTATGCGACAAATGACAACACCTTCTGGTCACCAACCATTTTAAATCCTCCTCCCACTCCATGGGTGACATGTCCATCCTGGGCCGCCTCCAGTGTCACAATGACGCCACCCTCAAACTGGAGGAGCAGCACCTCATATTCCACCTTGGGAGCCTACAGCCCAATGGCCTAAACATGGAATTCACCAGTTTTAACATCTATCCAACCCCGGCCTCAACCCATGACCAACCCTCCCTCTCATCCCCACCTCCTTGACCTGACACAACCTGTCCATCTTCTCTCCCACCTATCTGTCCCTTCCATCCCACTGACCAATCCCCACCACTTCCTGCACTCACCTATCAGCATCCCACCCACCTTCCCCAGCCTCACCCCTCCCCCTCTCTTTTTATTTCTGAGCTCCCTTCCCCCACCCCATTTCTGAAGAAGGGTCCTGACCTGAAATGTCAGCTTTCCTGCTCCTCTGATGCTGCCTGGCCTGCTGTGTTCCTCCAGCTCCACACTGTGTTATCTCTGACTCCAGCATTGGCAGTTCTTATTATCTCAGTGATTGAGAACCCCACTGCGAAGCCTCATTTTTGGATATGCCTAGTCTTGCTCCTGGCATGCCTGCCTCCACCCCTAATGAAACCAGGGTTGATCTTTTGGCTTGATGATAATGGTAGGGATAGCCAGGCTCCACCGTTACTCTGAACATACTTGAAGTTCAATCTCCTTCTCATTTGGACTGTGCAGTGGTTATTCTTACTGATACCATTGTGGATGAATGATTTGAAATGGATGGATTGATGGTTCCCTCACCACCTACTGCAGGCTTAGTCTGATTGCTATGTCCTTGGGGACTCTGCCAGCTCGGTCAGTAATGGTGTTACTGAGCCATTCTTGGTAATGGACATTGAAGTCCTCTGCTCAAAGTACACTCTGTGTCACCTTCTGTGTTCTCTCCACATGGTGATCAATAAGGAGTAGCACTGATTCCTCAACCGAGAGGGGGAGCAATACATGATAATTAGAAGGAGGATTCCTTGCCCATGTTTGACCTTATGTCATGAGACTTCATAAGATCCAGAGTCAATGTCGAGTCAATGTAACTCCCTCCCACTCTATAACATTACGCCGTTATCTCGGTTGCATCTATCCCGCTGCTGGGACTGGATGTATCTGCAAATGGTGATGATAATGTCTGGGATGTTAGCTCTTCTGATGGGAAGATCATCATTGCAACAGCATAGACAGGAGTTATATGGTGGGACCAGGCTGAAATCCCAAGGCATCTGCCTCCAAGGGAATAGCCTTCGTACCTTCCTGCTACCCATGTCCTTCGTGACGGCCAGGTTCACAGGGGTTGGGCTGCTGTTAATGAGTCTCACTGAGTTGCTGCAGTGCATCTTGTAGATGGTACCCACTGCAGTCTTACTGCATTGGTGGTGAAGGGAGTGAATGTTGAAGCTGATTCCAACCAAGTGGGCTGCTTTGGCTTAAATGCTTTTAAGTTTCTTGAGTATCGGAGCTGCACTCATCTGGGCAAATGGCGAGTATTCCATCACGCTCCTGACTAATGCCTTGTAGATGGTGGACAGAATTTTGGGAGATAGGAGGGTGAGTTACTTGCTGAGGAATTCCTAGCCTCGACTTGATCTTGTAGATACGGTATTCATATGGCTGGTCCAGTCCTGTTCTGGTCAATAGTAGCTCCTGGGATGAGGATGATGAATGTTAATGCCCATAATTCTCCTGGTCTGAGCTAATCATATGGTCTGGATAAGCACCTAGCTGAGGTCCATCACATATTTGGTTTATTGTCATGTACTCAGGTAGAGGGCTACATAAGTACTACAAAAAGCATATGAAGTTGCCATTTCCAGCACCATCTTAGGTACAACGATACCTAGGTATAAAATCCTAGGTATAAATTAGAAAAATGAAGAAATAAAGTTATAAGATCAGCATTATGGTTCTTCTAAAGCTCAGTATAAAGATACCTAGGTACAAAACCTTAGGTATAAATTAGAGAAATAAATAAAGGGAAAAGTTCAGCATTACAGGAAGTCCACTCTGGGCTTCCTCAAGGCTGGGAGTCTATCAAATCCACTTACATTGGGATTGAAGTAAGTAGCAAAGAGATAAGGGAGCTAATAAGGGGCTTTCTTTGGGATTGAAGTGCATGGGAAATGGAGAATTGGCAGTTGGATTTTTTAAAGTCCAACAAAGGGCCTCAAGGAAAGTAGAAAATTAAAATCATCTCATGACAATCTCTGTCTTCACTCTGGTACATTCGTCATGATGGAGGGAGATTCCAGCAAAAGGCACATGGCCAAGTTTCCTTGATATCTCTTGATTAGTCACATAAAGCCAAAAAAACAGAGTTGGGGCAGGGAATGTGTTCTGGGAGCAGGGAGGCTTGAAATGTCCCATGCCTCTCTATTTACAATCTTACGATACTGTGGAGAACCCATTGTGTCTGGATCACAGAAACCCTTGGATAGAGAGCATAAAGACCCAATATTGAGATCCGATTCCTCTTTCCTGTATTCTAGTCTCTGAAGCAATAAGAGGAACATGTCCTCCCCTTTATCAACAGAGATTCCCCCAAACTTCATCCCTTGTCTTAACTGTAGCATAAAGGATTGAGTCAGAATGTACAATATGCTAAAGTGACACAGTATACATCATCGCAGGAAATGATGCAATGTCACATGATCTTGTTGCCTGTAATGCAGAGTTGTGGCAAGATGAAGCCATTGTAAGATGTTCCTGAAATAAAGTTAATGCCTTTCTCGCCACAGCAGACTTAAACTAGGGTTAGTAGCACCTTGCCAGCAAGACTGTTCTAATACCTTTTCCCATCCTCCTCTCCCCTCGCATGCCCTTTGCTATTAAATCAGAGCCTGCTTGCCAACCGCTGTCAGTCAACTGGAATCTGAGATCAAAGTGTGGGAGACTGAGGAAGCTATTTCGCTGACACACACACACACACACACATACAAGCATACGCATGTGTGTGGGCCTATACTCTCTCTCTCTCCCTCTCTCTCTCACACACACACACGTACAAGCATACGCATGTGTGTGGGCCTATACTCTCTCTCTCTCCCTCTCTCTCTCACACACACACACACACACAGGCTCTATAAATACTGACACACTTGTGCAAACACATACACACAAGTATATATATCTTCACTTACTTCCACATTGGTGGAATAGTTAAAAGGGATCATCAAAATGACAAAATAAACTAGCCAAATAAAAATTAAGATAAATTATTTTAGCAGAGCTCAATGTAAACATTATTTGAAGCTGAGAAGAGTGGAATGATTTTATCAATATGTTTTATTCAGTTAAATGGACTAATTTTCTTTTACAAATACGTGAGATGTAGTTTAACAGTGACAATTTACACTTGCTTCATGTTGCTGATCATTTTGAGAAACTTGGTAAGTTACCAGCGTTGGAATTAATCAACTCAACCCCTTTTTTCTTCAAAGCTTCTGCACCCTGATCGATAGCTGAAAGAACAAAAGCAGACCAAAAGTAAAGTAAACCAGTCTGACACAGACAGAATGTTGTCCATGGCACAACGCTGTACAGCTCTATTACCCCTGCAAGCTCAACTTTCATTGACATAATAGGAAGCAGGATAGGCATCAGCAAGACCTTCTGATTCAGGAACTGGGTTCAGTTTACTTCCAGGCCTCGGTGCAACTATTTGGGATTTTTTTCACCTCCAAATGCTTCTTGCCCATTGCAGTGCGGCCTTGGGGATATTGAAAAATGGGAAACGACAGTAGCTAGGCGTTCGTGGGCGGACGGCAGTCCTCAGGAGCTGGGAGAAGCTGTTCGAGAAATGTTTTAGTATTTTCTGCTCGCTGACAGTAATTAGGCCATGGTGATTCTGCTGGCAGATCTTGAAAAAGGGAAGCTTGCTTCGCTCGGGATCTTTAAACTCTTCAATTAATCTCATACCTGACCACTTTTTCCAGGTAAACACCAAACAGCTTTTTATAGAGTCCCTACAGTGCAGAAAGAGGCCACTCAGCCTATTGAGTATGTACCAATCCTCCAAAGTAGATCCCACCCAGACTCAGTACCCCCACCCACCAACCCCCAAACCCAGTAATCCCACATGGGGTTTTAACCATGATTAACCCACCTAACCTGCACATCCCTGGACACTATGGGCAAGTTAGCCTGGGTAATCCACCTACCCTACACATCTTTCGACTATGGGAGGAGACCAGAGCACCTGGAGGAAACCCACATAGACACGGGAGAATGTGGAAACTCCACACAGACAGTCACCCAAGGGTGGAATCAAACCCAGGTACCTGGCACTGTGAAGCAGCAGTGCTAACCACTGTGCCATCCTGCAACCCATGCGATTGTCCCCAGGGGATTCAGGACCTCTGTTGTCAGGCTCAAATGGGCTTCAGAAGCTCGCACTAAGGAGACAAGTCACTCCCTTGGGATTTTCCATCAGTTGGCCAAATGGGGGCATCATTGCAGGTCACATGATTGGGACAGAGCAAAGGTAAGATGGAGGCATCCTCTCTCCAACTGAAACTTAAAATAGAGAGGCACCAAGCCACCAGTCGACCAGGTTGGGTTTTGGAGGAGGTGAGAGACAGAATGTGCTGGTCTGCAGGAGCCCAATGGGGAGGAGAGGATCTCTAAGCCTGCTTTGATGACCAGACACCTCTTTCAATCACCAGAAAATTCCAGTCGGCTTCCAACAACAGGCATGAGTTGACATTGCATTTGTTGAATCAGTTACCTGCTCTTTGTCAAGGTTTTGAGCGATTGCAGGGGTAACACTGCTGTTCCCACCCCCGCCGCAAGGAAATTAACTCAGGGGTGGTAAGAAGCCAGGGAACTGGCACGCTGATGGGGCACAGAATTTCATGCCCATCCCTTTTTGGGAGCTAAACATTCTCCCCCTGGCATTTAATGACACAGAGTTGGATGGTGCAAACTAGTTTAGGTGGAGGAGGGTGAAAAATTAAATGGGAAAGCCGTAATATTGTCGAGGAAAGACAGAAGTATGAGAGGAAATATATGGGTTTAACATCTTTGAAAGGCTATAAATTGCCCAGCTTAGATGAAATATATCCCAGGCAACTAAGACAGATATGTTATAATAGATGGGGAGGCAATGGCCCAGTGGTATTTTCGCTGGACTGTTAATTAGAGACCCAGATAACATTCTGGGGACCTAGGTTTGAATGCTACCACAGCAGATGTTGGAATTTGAATTTAATAAATATCTAAATTAAGAGTCCAATGATGACCGTGAATCTATTGTTGATTGTTGGAAAAACTCACCTGGTTCACTAATGTCCTTTAGGGAAGGAAACTGCCATCCTTACCTGGTCTGGCCTACATGTGACTCCAGACCTACAGCAATGTGGTTGACTCTTAACTGCCCTCTGGGCAATTAGGGATGGGCAATAAATGCTGTCTAGCCAGCAACGCTCTCATCCCGTGAATGAATAAAGAGAAAAAAAACAATTTTTTTTAGCACCTGGAATCCTAGCTTAAGAATTCTAGACATTGTTATCTAGATGGCGCTGGTGAGAACCTCATTGTGAGGCTACAACAGTTTTATACAGAGACTATTTATTGTAATAATAATTCTAAATTACATTGTATGAATGAATGCTACCATAAAATAAATAATGATCAAAGGTAGTCACTTCACATATATGGTTAGTGAATACTCTAAGAAAAGCAAATATTCAATGCTATATTCCTTAATACTGAGTGGTTGCTAGATAGTCAATCAAAGATAGTTACAATAGGACTATTCTGTTTTAAATTTATACTAAATGTTTAAGTTTAAGGAAAATATACATTCCCAATCCTTTCCCAATTTCTTTCAAGTATTTTTGAGAACCCAACTTTTTTTGAGCCCTACAGTGTCCCCTAAGTCTTGTAGCCTATCACTGCAGTTGTTTAATTGCTTCATCATCACTTAGCTTATTATGTCTGTCTTATTGATTCTTTGAGTTCAATTCATTTATCTGGATTTATCTTGCAGGCGCTTGGCTATTTTACGACAGTGACGCCCACACAATCCTGAAAACGACTACATTTTTCTGCATAGTGGTGTCTTTAAGCTTCTTGGCACCAACTCAGGTGTTGCATACAGTGCATTTTATTCCCAGTAATTCCTTTAACTGAATTAATATATTTTTTTCATTGATTTGGGTGTATCGGTCACTTCCTTCACAGCTATGGCAAGTTCACTTTGGGGATACTTTCCTTTGCTACCTGAGACTTAGAATGTAAGAGCAGGGAAATTATGCTAGGACTATGAAAAAAAAACAAGTTAGACCACCTGGTCATTGTTTTATTGGAAAGCTGTGATTGCATTTGAGATGGTATAGACCAAATTTACAAATCATTTTCCAAGAATTGGTGTTTTTTTTTGGAACAGAGAAGACTGAGAGAATAAAAACAGAAGTTGCTGGAAAAGCTCAGCAGGTCTGGCAGCATCTGTGAAGAGAGAATCAGGGTTAACGTTTCGGGTCCGGTGACCCATCCTCAGAACCAAGTTTTTGTTCCTGATTTACAGCATCCACAGTACTTTTGGTTTTTATTAAGACTGAGGGAATATTTAATTAAAGGCATAAATTTATATGGGGCCTGAATGGAATGGATATGAAGGATCTATTTTCTTCCGGAGATTAATAAACAGAATGTCAATTCTAATTGGCAGATGGAACAGAGGGGAGTTGGACAGAAAACTTTTCACCCAGAGGGTGAGAGGAGACTGAGAGGGTAGGTAAGGCAAAAATCCTCACTGAATTTGAAAAGTTTTTGGATTTGTGTTAAATCAACATAGTTACTGATCTTGTGGCACAGTTGCGAAAAGCCTGGGTTCAAATCCCACCTGTTCTAGAGGTGTGTAATAACATCTCTGAACAGGTTGATTGAAGAGAACCCTGCAGATCAAGAGATGGGGAATGGGATCAGGCTGGGTGGACACCAACTTTATTTTCTTCATTCAGGGTATGAGGGTTTCACTGGCTGGATCAGTATTGACCACCCATCCCCAATTGCACTTGAGAAGTTGATGGTGAGCTGCCTTCTATTGATGTGTCTACACCCACAATGCCCTGAGGGAAGGAATTCCAGGATTTCGACCCTGTGATGCTGAAAGAATGGAGATAAATTTCCAAGCCAGGATGGTGAGTGGCTTGGAGGGAACTTGTTTCCCTGTGCCTGCTGCACTTGTTCTTCCAGATGGAAATAGTCGTGGTCTTGGAAGGTACTGTCGAATGATCTTTGGTGAATGTCACCCTCTGCATTGTATGTTTTCTTGTTCTCTGTGGCCCTATGCCATGTAAGTAGTGGTCAGGACTGATGATGGATGTATTCCTTCATTTTCAACAAACCAAGTACCAGAGTGACGAAATTGGATTGGATATTCTGTACCTTTCTCGACAATCTGCTGCACATGCCCTCCGCTTTTCTGAGTTGCATCTTTTGCAGCTGTCCCTGCAGAGAAGAAGGTGATATTCATCAACAGCAGGGAAAGGGAGCAGTTTACCCCTCCAATATACCCCCACAACCACCCCTCCAAAATACCCCCACAGCCTCCCCTCCAATATACCCCCACACCCTCCCCTCCAGTACACCCCCACACCCTCCCCACCAATATACCCCCACAGCCTCCCCTCCAATAAACCCCCACAGCCTCCCCTCCAGTATACCCCCACAGCCTCCCCTCCAATATACCCCCACAGCCACCCCTCCAATATACCCCCACACCCTCCCCTCTAATAAACCTCCACACCCTCCCCTCCAATATACCCCCACAACTTCCCCTCCAGTACACCCCCACACCCTCCCCACCAATATACCCCCACA